GGCACAAGTACAATTCTTTGTTGTCTCCCAAGCAGCCTTCCCCAAGCCTAGTTTTCTTTTCTTTGTCAGAAGTCATTGAGATGACAGCTTTCTACCACAGACTGGCATAAGGCCTTAGGAGTTTTCAATTAATACTTTAAAAATACCTGAATCCTTTTTTTGGGGGGGGTAGGGGTAGGAGGAATGGGGTAAGCTTTTGACATTTTTTTTCTCCTAAATGAGATTAGCTTCATCCATAGTTTTCTGAAGTTTCTAGTATGATTTAGTAACAAGAGTTGAAAGAAGACTTGTTCCAATCTTCTTTCAATGGATGGAGCGACAATTATACATTGATGCTCTTGTGATGATCATCTGTGTTATTAGTTGCCAGAAGCCTTATCTGCCAATTCTCATTTCCTCAGCATATGGTTACTGTGTCTAACAGTATTTTTCATGTTAAACCCAAGTTTGCAGCTTTGGTTACCTGAAGCAACACTTCCACTTGGAGATGGCAAAAACCATAATTTCATTTCACTTCTTCTTTCTTCTGTTTCTCTCTCTCCTTTTTTCCTTGGTCCTGGGGATCAAACCCACAGGCTCCAGGTGGTAAACATGCTACCACAGTTACTTACCAAGACCCAGAAAATGGAACTTTAAAAGTGAAGTAGCGACAAGTGCCTACTTATACTATATAATGTAAAAAAAAAAAACAAAAAAAAAAAACGGTTTCTGCCTGACTCAGATTTTAAGTGTTTATACTATTCATTAACTTGGTAATTGCTTATGAACATCTGAAGAACATCATACAAACCAGGAATTGATAGTGTACCCCATTCAATCCCAGAACCTCCAGAGATTGAGGCAGGAGGATTGTGAGTTCAAGGCCAGCCTGGACTACATAGCAAGACCCTGTCTTAAAAGAAAAAGAAAACAATAAACAAAAGTTAAATCATGTAAAGTTTTATATAAACCAAATCCTAATGATATTCTTCCTACCAGATTATATACTTGACAAGAGGGACTAAGTTTGGGTCACTGATGTATCCTCAGTTTCTAGAATAGTGCTTGGCATATAAAAAAAGGTGTTCATATATATATATGTATATGTATATTAGATAAATGTTTTATTCTTCAAAGGCAGGAATCTTCTGTTCGCATATACCAAATTGAGGATTAAAATTAAGATATGAGGGCTGGGAAGGTGGTTCAGTGGTAGAGTACTTGCCTTGCATGCATGAGGCCCTGGGTTCGATACCTCAGCACTACATAAGCAAAAAAAAAAAAGAAAAAAGCCAGAAGTGGCGCTGTGGCTCAAGTGGTACAGTGCTAGCCTTGAGCTGAAGAGTTAAGGGGCAGCGCCCAGGCCCAGAGTTCAGGCCCCATGACCGGACCCCCCCCCAAAAAAAATTAAGATATGAGCCAGATGCCTGTAGCTCATACCTGTAATTGGCTCTAGTTACTCAGAGGCTGAGATCTGAGGATCATCAAGTGGAAATGTGCCAGTCTTGAGCAAAAAAGCTAAGGGATAGGGCCCAGGAACTGAGTTAAAAAAAATTAAGATAAAGTCTTCATTCAGGAAAATCTAAGATTTCATAAGATGTGAAATACCCCTGGTTTATGTAATACTCAAGATTCTTTCTAGCTCTAACATACTATGGAATCTATTAGTTAAAAAAATTAGGGGCTGAGAAGGTGGCTCAGTGGTAGAGTGCTGGCCTTACATGCATGAGGCCCTGGGAAATTCCTCAGTACCACATAAGCAGAAAAAGCCAGAGCCCTAGCTTTAAGCCTTGAGCTGAGGGACAGTGCCCAGACCCAGAGTTCAGGCCCCACGACTGACCAAAAAAAAAAAAAAAAAAAAGTATCCATTTTAAGACCCTAATATATGTACTATTAGGGAAGCCAGGTTCTGGTAGAAGTTCATGCCAGAAACCTTACTTATTTAGGAGGTTGAGATCAGAGGACGGTGGTTTGAAGGTAGGCCAAGCAGAAAAAAATTTCAGGGGGTTGGAGGTACTGAGTTTAAGTCCTGGTCTCAGACCAAATTAAAGAACAGAAAAAAAAATATCAAAAGATTCCATCTCCAAATTAAAGCTAAAAGTTGGGCTTGAGGCTTGGTTCAAGTTGTAGTGTCACAAGCTAAGTGAGAGGGAGAGTTCAAGCCCCAGTATTGGCACACAAAAGACAACAACAAAACGCCACAGTGAGAATAAGTGGGTGGATCTTTGATTTACAAAGCAGTGTGCATGTGTTTCTAAGCCTTGGGATCATTATTATAAAGATCAGATTTGAGGGGCTGGGAAGGTAGCTCAGTGGTAGAGTGCTTGCCTTGCATGCATGAGGCCCTGGGTTTGATTCCTCAGCACCACATAAGCAAAAAGAAAAAGTCCAGAAGTGGTGCTGCGCGTCAAGTGGTAGAGCCTTGAGCTGAAGAGCTGAGGGACAGCGCCCAGGCCCAGAGTTCAGGCCCTGCGACCGGACCCCTCCCCCCCAAAAAAAAAGATATTTGAAAATTTAGTAATATTGGTCCAAGCTATATTCTGGAAGGATTTACTTTTATGAAAAACAAACAAGCAAAACAAAATTCCCAACCAACGTGGCATCATCTTGTTAATGGCAAATGTATCTATAAATGTAAAGAATATTTTAAATGTTATCTGCATAAAAAGGCAAAAGAAATATTTGTGCATAATATTTACATTCTGGACTATGTCAATGGTGGTATTACATGGCTTGCTTTCAAATTCATGTCAAATATATACTTATTTGAATTTAAAGCTAATTAACACCAAAAATTCAGTGAAAGACTAAAATTCAGAATCTTTATTAAGAAAGAAGTTGTCTAAATTTGGGGCCTATGTTGGGCAGTATACAATATTTTCTTTGGAACAAAGACAGAAGGGAGAAGAGTGAAATTTACAAGCAACAATTTTCCAGAAAAAAAAAAAGATTCTAGTACTTATTTATGTCAAGCCATCTCTTACTAGAAGTTTGGTTTCCTATACTGAGACTTAACAGAATTATCTCAAGATAGTTTACTGAAAAGTATATTTTTTAGCCTGCTTTTTTTAAAAAAAATAAATTTTACTTTAAAATGAGGGAGAATTAATCAGATTTGAGATTAACTCTTGCTGTGGTCCAGATCTTGGAAAAGATTTTACACAGTCATTGATCTGTTAATAAAAAGAAATTTAAAAAAATTAAATGTACTGGGATAATAAATGTGAAGATTTCCTAAAACAGAGCAGGATAAGGAAAGCACGAGCATAACATGGACTGGAGAATGAAGTCTGAAGAACACCAACAACAGAAGCAGTGTGGAGGTAAAGTAATGCCAGGAGCACTGTTAAGATTAATTTGCTGAGATAAAAATGCACCCAGAGTCAACTTGTTGAGGCTTACATCAGAGGGAGTGTAGCACACTTGTGCTACCAGAAAGAAGGAAAGAAAAGAAAAGGACAATTGTAAAGATATATGGAAAGAGTATGGATGGAAAGAGTAAGGAAAAAGGTATAAGGTAAAAATGAGAGAGTATTTTCACAGCCGATGAAAATAGGAAATGACATAGAATTGGAAGATGCTTTAGCTTATTCATGTCAGAAACTGAGAAATTACTAGTCTCACTGATCTCCAAGCTAATTGAAAAAGCCAATTAATTCTTCTTAAAATGTTAAAAACAGCAACAACAGTAAACAACACATTTGATAATTTAAGAAATCCCAAAGGTCATGATTGAGCTCTTGGCTCACCCTGCCCCAGCCCTGGATTCTATTCCCAATATGGCAAAAATAATAAAACAAAACAAAACAACTCCCCCCAAACCCAAACAACCAACCAATCAGCTAAACAATCCTCCCAGTTAAATCTATAAAAATTCCTAAAAACAGAGTTAAAAAAAAACTTAAAAGAAAGTGACAGGTTGAAACGCTAGTAGTATTCCTAAAGCTGAGATTAAAAAAAAAAGTATAATGTATACATACGACTTCTATATTAAAAGATGCTTGTAGACGTATTGGGGGGAAAATTACCCTTTTGTTGGAAGGTTCTGGAAAAAACTGGTGGGATAAACGATATTCATTCTCTCTCTTTCTCTCTCTCTCTCTCTCTCTCTCACACACACACACACACGGTTGTAAATTTCATTTTACATCCGACGTACGAGAGGAAAAGATGCATGAACAACAGCCTGCACACAGCCAGGAAATCAGAGACCTGGTCCCGGTGGAGGCCCAGCTCGAGGCGATCATTCCACGGGCACAATAAGTCATCCCAAAGCCCACCCTTAAGTAAGGAAAATAATCCTAAAAATAGGCCAATAGTTACTTTACTCCAGCGATAACCTAATCCTCGGGCTTATTGTTGAGGAGCAGATGTCATTATGGGTGGGGCTGCCGCGCCGAGCAGCTGAAACATTTCGGTACCACCCCTTCCCGCCCCCCCACCCCTCCCCGCACACTTTCCATGGGGACGCCAAGGCTCCGAAAAGGTAAGGAGAAAGCGCTGCCTCCGTCGGCTCCCGCGGGCGAGCGAGGGTCTGGGGTGTGTCCGCCGCGCCTCCGCGGAGGCCGCCCTTCGGGCCGCTCAGGATCTCCTCAGGATTAAGTTGTGCGCCGGGAAGAGCCCGTCCCCTCTCTCCCCTCCCCTGCGGGGCTCCTCCTCGGGACACTCGGCCCGAGTCTTTCTTTCCCTCCTTCCGACGCCGAGGGGAGGCGACGCGCCGGCGGGGACGCCCGTTTTTCCGTACGCGCGGAGGGAACGCAGCGGGTAGGAGGCCGGGGAGGCCGACGGCCTTGTGGGGAGGAGGAGCAGGTTCGCCGGGGGAGGGGGGCTGAGCGGCCCTGGGGAGGGAACGGACCCTGGGCGGGGGGGGGGGGCCGGGGACCCAAATCTCTCGCTCCGAGCCCGGACGGAGAGTTTCCGGCGGGCCACGGTCGCTTTCGGCCTAGCGCGGCCCGCATCACCGGGCCCGATTGGACGGGAAAGGGAGTTAGGAAATAGGATTAACCGCGGCTCGTACTTGCCTGTGAGCGGGTGACCAACAACTGGTAATAGTCTTTGCTTGGAGCCTGGCCCTGTCCTACAATTTCGAACAGAGTCTCCGGCAGCCAGGACGCCATCTTGGGACGCCACCGCCGTCGCTAAGACAACCAGGAAGGGGCGGGGCTTGGTTGGGGTCAGGGGGCCAAAACCTTAGTTTTTAAGCCGAACCCCGCTTTTGAGATGGCAGATGGTTTCTAACTCGGGATGACCGTTCCCTCCTCAAGGGTCATAAGGAACCCGGGTCCTTGAAATTTCCACATCCAGGCCCCGGGTGACCCGAGGGGGAATTAGTTCCTGCTATCACGGAGGGGAGGGGGTGACCCCGGCGGAGGGATACCAAGCGAAGTCTCACAGTCTCCTTCCTGGTCCCTCGAAGGGATCGGGGAGGAGCTTGGAGGCCGCTGGGAGACTCGAGCCGTGCGCTTGGAAGGGACGGTCGATGTTCCGAGCCTCGCGTAGGCAGGGGGGCCGGCCCCGCGGACGATCCGGGTAGCCGAGTCCGGGGTGGGGGTGGGGGGAAGTAGTTCCCGGAGGGTGTTGCACAGCGAGAAGGAGGCGGCGCGGGCGGAGGCGCACGCCGGCGCGGTGCTGCGGCTCAGCTGATAATTGAAGGGACCTGAGGAGCCGCCGCCGCCGCCG